GGGAGTGGGGCTCCCTGGGTACCTCGGGATCCCTGAGCTGAGGAGCTTGAGTGGGGCCGGCCTCATTCCTAAAGTGGAACACGAAGGCGCGAGTCTACATGAACATGAAATCAATCAACGCACCATGTTTGAAGCTGTCGACCTGCGTTCCAGAAGCAAGTTCCCGTTACAACTTATAAGTGTCCCTTCTCGAGTACTTGCCTAGGACATGGCGGTCAGCTGGGTTTGGGCTCAAGCTGCACCTGCCACTACCAGAGACAGGGTTAAAAACAACCATCGACCAGTCACAGTGATGCGAGAAGTGGAGTCTGCGAGAAGGAAGAGGGTGAAGCTGAGTGGCTGTGGCTGGCGGAAGGTCCTGGTTATGGGTCTGATGCTGGTATGTTGTATCTGGCCCGGCATCAGCCTAGAAGGTGTTGCAACTGCTGCATCCGTGACACACCTCTCCCTATCTGCAAGTCCTTGTGACACATTGCAGGAAGTCCGACACAAAAAGCAAGACCTTCGAACGTACCTCACCCTATCTGCACATCCAGGCGACACACTGCCGGAAATCGAAAGAAAGAACAAAGACATCCGAAAGCTGCTGAGGAAGACTCCGTGGCCAAAGCTGGAGTTTTTTTCGGCAGACGGACGTACCTACAGCCTGCCTCTGCGAGCCGAGAGCAGAGAGCCGTCAAATCGGCCGGCAAAGGCGAGGCTGGAGTACCTGGCCGGCTTCTTCGACGGGGATGGCTGCATTGCTTGTGTGTCGGCTATGTGCAGGCCCAGCTTGCACGTGGTCCGGTCTTTTGACCAGGCGGAAGTTCTGATGCTCTTCCGGGAGACATTCGGTGGGAGCATCACGCGTCATGAGGGAGGCAAGGGTTTGAGAAAACCAAAGCTTCAGTGGCGGGCATTCGGCGACTCGGCCCGACGCGCGGCCTTGCTCCTTGCAGCACAAAGCATCACGAAGCAAAGGCAGCTCCTGCTAGCAGACCAGTGGCCCGATGAAGAGTCGCGCAGAGCGGACTGCAAGGCCGAGCTGCACAAGCTGAAGGAGTACGACTCGGCGGTCGCTGGTCCGTGCAGCTGGGCGTACTTCGCTGGCTTCTTCGATGCAGAGGGCTACATCCACCAACCTATGGGAGGAGCCTCGCTTCGTCTGGAGATTACACACAAGTATCCTCAAGTCCTGGGGTGTCTTCGCGATTTCCTTTCCCGAAGACTGGGCCTCGATGCAAGCCCTCGGAAAGAAAAAGGGTCCGTCTACGTTTTGCGCATTTCCGGCTTGTCAGATTGCAAGCGGATCTTACAACATATGCTGGGAGCTGGAATGGTGAGTAAAACGACGCAGGCAGAAATTGCGCGCGGCTTGACCAAGCAGAGCGCGGCGCAAGTAAGCACTCGGCTGGCATGCCTGACTGGAAACCAAATGTTTGGAAAGAAGCTGGACCGCGCTGGCCGAGAACGGGCGAGAAAGATCCGGAATGTGAAAACCCAAGCAACTCTCAGGAAGCGACAAGGGAGGCTGACAGAAGCTGCAGACAAGCAATGCGAGGTTGCTTTGCTCAAACATGAGCATGAACTGCTCAACGCCCGTTATGAGAACCAGGAGTTGATTGAGTACTTTCGCAAATTGCAGAGGTTGCACGAGAATTCGTGGGAAGGGCCGCTTGCCCAGGGTATGTGATGAGCCAACAACAGGGTGGACCTGCAAAGCATGCTTCTCATCGCAGGTTTCTGCAGAATCCCTGCTTTCCCGCTTTCCTTGACCTGCATGGCTTGCGTTTGTCGGACTCGTCGTCAGCACTGAGCTTTCGCGGAACATTGCCTGCAGCGCTCTCCGCTTCTTGTTATTCTCGCCGGCCGCAGCCTATAAACTTTTATTATATAGAGATCTTGTCCGTGTCCGGTCGGTTCCTGCAGCATTTCAGGGTCAAACCTGATCCCCTACGCCTCCAAAGCTTCTCTAACGTCCCAACCCTGGGTCGTCAAGACTGAAAGGCCCCAGGTCGTGTCACGCTTAGATGGAAGGGTTTACGGTTGACTTTAAGAGGATCTTCGCGGATTTCCTCGGCACGAAAACAAGTCACGGAGGAGTGTATGAAACGTCAGTGTAGTTTGATGTTCTTAGCACGGTTTTCATTTTCTCTCGAGCTGCTGGCCTGATGGAGGAGGCTCCTAATTAGCCAAGGAAGAAACAGCAAACTCAGGCACTGCCTTCTTTGCCTCTTTCGGCTCAGCCCAGCAACTCCCTAAATCAGAAGCATGAGACCCAATGACTGGCCTTTGTTTGTCTTGTTGTTCCCTTGTTTCGGCGCTGAAAAGCTACAAGATAAGAAGACCACACTCGGGGAACTTCTTGCAATATAACGTAATATAACCCCTAAACAAGAAACCCAGCCAAGCATGAGACTGCCATCCCCAGACCAACCCCTGGGCCAGCGTACTGGTACTGTTTGCTATTTTCGAATATGTTAGTTTAACCTTTTTTCCCAAGTTCTCACTTTAAGTCAGTGTAGTAAACTCATTTGGCACAGGGACAACGGCAACAATGGGAAGATGCCATGATGTGTTAGAACCGCATGTCACCCGAAACCTGGCCCTACCGTCTACAAGTCCCTCACACTCCAAAGTGGTTCGTCCCCAAGTCCTTTGATCTGCAGGCATGCTCCAGTGAAGCGATTGCATGGCTTCAAGGGAATCCTGCTGCAGGGCTCCGTTTCAGGGTTTTTGTAGGTGTCCTATATCGCTCCATGAGCAACTACACTCCTTTTGTTGATAGCTGCGGCCAAAGACTAAGTTGCGGGCTGTTGCCAGCACTAGCGAAATCAAACACGCGCTGCTAGGCGAGTTTTCGTCGAGAGCCTTCACGAACATCTGCATGTCTCTTGTTATCTATGTTAACTGTATCTTTACCCTTGATGATACGGTTGTTGGAGGGTTCGGCATGGTTTCAAGCGTTGTCGATGCTGCAGCTCCCTTGACGATGTTTGTAGAACCGAGCCAGGTCTTTGACCTGCCATGCAGCTGACCTGCAAAAAAGACAGACAGCAGTGTTCCAAACAGATGCTTTCTTTTAGTAGGATGTGGGGCTCACATAGCTCCAATGGCAGTGCCTCTTACGTGCACTTCATGCAGACCAACAACTAGTGCAATCTCTTCCTGCATCGCAGTTCGTGCAGAGGCTCCCATAATTTACAAACAGTTCAATCCCACAGACCGGCGCCTTAGGCCGTAAACCCTGTAACATTCAAAGCCCCAAGTCGCCACGATGGCGGCTAACTCATGGCCCGCCCCAATCTTCTTTGGACAGTGTGTTGGCTTCAAGGCTGGTTTTCCGGGTTTGGGGTTCTGCATATGCAGGACTCAAGTAGTCTTTGAGGCTTAGAGGCGAGGGTTCAGGAAAGCCACGGTAGCCAGGAAGCGTATCCGATCTCTGCATGCCATATTAAAGCCTATAGGCCTACATAACTCACTTACTTCGGCAGCTAACCTCTCAAAGTTGTTTAAAATCTCTCTCAAATCACCCGGAACTTGCTCGCTAATTGCTCGCTAGCTGCTCACTAATAGCTCGCTATTTGCTCGCTAATTGCTTGCTATTTGCTTACTAATTTCTCGCATAGTTGGCTACAGCTCTCCCAAATTTCTCGTTAAATTCTCCCAAACATTCTCCCAAATATTTCGCTAATCAATTCTTTTCTAGTTTCCAGCATTTACATTCCAAAGATGGTCACAACACTACGGAAAACATCGGGTTCCAGAGTGACCCTGTCCTTTCTACTGCCGACCCCGCTATTCGCTTCGGGATACAAGATGGAGGCTTCACGGCTTAGGAGCTTAGGGGCTTCGGGTGTGGGGTTTAGGGCTTAGGGCTTATATTGGGCTTATAGGGTTTATAGGGCTTTTATTATGGCTTATAGGGCTTATAGGGTTTCTAGGGCTGATAGGGCTTTTAGGGTTTAGGGCCAGAGTTCGGTTCTGAACCGTACCGGACGTGCGCTGTTCCCATGACGATGGCGGCTCAGAGGTTGCGGAAGGCAGTTGCATGGAGGGGGCCTGGAAATCCTGCTGAGAAAACCTACTTGAGCTAGCTCAACCCATACATATATATATATATATATATATGTATAGGCTTCAGGGGTTTACGGTTAGGATGGCCTAGGGGCATTGCGGGGAAAATGATCGTTTTTATCAAGCAAGTCAGGCAACTGGCGTGATGGTCAGGCTAGGCCAAGCTGAAACACTACACCCTAGACTCTGTAGGTGCCCTATACACGCATGTTGATGGGAGCTGCAGCCAATTCCAAGGCGCCAGTTTCCACACGGTGGGATGGGCGGATGATGGTTCGTGTCTTCAGAGTAAGTCAAGCGGTGATAACTGGAACAACGTCTTTGATCTAGATCTTCGCGGCTGTTCCTACTATTGAACTTCCGAACAGCCTTTATGAACTCAGCATTGGGTGAATCTTCGTATCGTGGTGTTGAAGATATATAGTCGTGACTGTGACTGTTCGGATTAGCGATTGCTGCGACCAGGGGGTGTAAGGGCTGTAGAGCTGCCGGGCCTCCGGTTCTTTAGGCCGTTTTGAGCCCCTTGGTTTTGTATGTTCGAGTGCGTGGCTTCAGGGTCGTGGGTTTCAGGGCTCTTGGGCTTTGGGGCCGGGAATCCCAAGGCTTCGGACACCGCGCGAAAACCCCTCAACTCCGAACTGTGGCAAACCCAAGACCTTTTGAACCAGAAGCTTGGAAGCTTCCTACCTTGAAGTAGGCTTTGGCAAGTCCACCATACCTAGCTCCCACAACCAGGCTCTGCTGTTCGGCTTAAGCATGGCTTAAACATCCACCGTCATGGACTACAGAGCTGTAAGGTGACTGACCCTCAAAGTAGGCCCTCGGGTGTGAGGTCCAGGACCTTGTGTGATGTTCAGTGTGAGTTGCTCCACAGAAGGGTGGCAGCTGGGACCTGAGGCCTTTTGTGGCGGAAGGGTAACGACTTGTGAGATTTTCTGCTTGCCATGACGCTGCGAAGAAAGAGGCAGCGCGCAGGCGCCCTTGACCTAGAAGTTGCGAGTTCATGGGTTAGAGTTTTCTTGGGCTTCCGGTGAGGTTACCAACATTTGTTCAAATGTTGTTCACGCAAGTCCGTGGCGTTGTGGGAGCCCCTTTGAAAGTAATAAAGTAATACTTATAAGATCTTAGATGCTGGTCAGCGATTGAAGCTGCACATCAATGCATCATCGCGTTCCCAAGCAAAGAGGCCCTGGGCCTAAGTGAGTGAGGTCAAGCTTACCTACCACAAGGGTTTCTTCGGCCACCGAACATGTTAACTCGAGCACACTGCAACCCCAACCCTAAACCCTATGGTAAGCCCTGTGAAAGCCTGGCGCCTTGCAAGTCCTACTGACGGTGGTCAAAAGAAGTATGTTTTCCAGGGGTTTCAGAGTCTACCCATAGGCCCCATAGTAGTTCCTTTTGGGGGTTCATCTCTAGAATCCTATAAGGTAATCCCAAAAAGGAACATGGGGCCTATGGGTAGTTTACAGTGCTCAAACCCCTAATTTTCCAACTTACTCAGTCCCCTGATCCCTTAAGTATATTGGCCTTCATCGTATTCCCCCGCAGTAGCCCTTATAACTTAGCCCTCTTGACCCCAAACCCTGAACCCCCATATAGCAATGTTTATAACTTTTATAACTCCCTTCTTTCTCCTGAACGTTGAGACCTTAGGCGCCTTGTTGGCGCTCTTGACTGTCCTGGCCTGGCGCCCGCTGACTTTTGCAGCACCGGGGACGAACGAGAAGGACGCCGATAGAGGGTTAACCCAAATTGCCGTCAAGGGATTTACGACTTGTTTTTTGTTGAGAGTGGGAGTGCGGGGTGTTTGGGACCGGGGGGGGGGGGGGGGGGTGAGAGTTCCAGGATTTGGGTTGAAGTTCGAATAGATCCCGTTAGCTCGCTGGTTGCTTGCTACATATTTAGTCTCCACTGGACTTTCTTGTTCGGTAAACCAGTTGTTAAGGTGAGGATCCTATGTTACAGATTTGGATATCCAGCAAAGCGAGTCGCCCTGAGCCCTGAAGCCCACAACCCTAAGATCTGAACCCTAAACCCCCAAGCTCTATAAATCCTAAACCCTAAGACCTGAACCCCAAACTCCTAAGCTGTAAATCCTAGACACTAACTTCACGGGCAAGTGGAAAAGAGGTTAAAAAAACAACTAAATCCTAAAACCTAAGCCGTGCCTTGACGCCTAGATCCCTGAGCCCCAAGCCCAAATCCTTTCCGGGCACAGGCCAAGATTGAGCCAACTGGGCCGCGATTAGGTTCTCGGGATGTCGAACGTGAGACCTTTACGGTTTTCAGGTGTTGTTTGGGGTTTAGCATCGAGGTCTTCGGGTTTGACTGCTGCTTTTGGGTTTCAGGTTGCCGACGACTTCGAGCTACCAGCTTTTGAGAGTGTAGGATGCATACGGCTGTGTGGGCTGCCAGGGGTTGGGCATTTCATGACTCTGGGGCCCAATTCTAGTCATCATGTATCCTCGCGTGCTTGCAAGTTTAAACTTATAACCACACCGGCCGGCAGGCATCAGCTGCAAGCTTTTCCCCCGAAGCCCCTAAAGAGCCCGTCTTACAAGCCACGCAAAGTTTGAGCTGCAGATATCCTCCGAGGTTTTACACCATGGACATGCCTCTCGTCGGAAATGACATTTTTTCTACTTGTCCAGGGTCTCGGATACTGTTTGGATCCGTGGCTATCGGTGTTGGCTCTGCAGCCAAGGGGTTTCCAGCCTAGGGTTCTGGGTGGTTGAGGGTTTTGGGGTTTTGGGTTGGGGGTTTGAGGGTTCTTGCTTAGGATTTGGAACTCAAATCGGAGGATAGAATGCAAGGCGACGAAGACCGAATATGCCACAAGCCAGGTAGTCTCATCAGTCGCCTAGTATGAAAGTATCTGCCTTCTTTCTTGCAGCTTCGCGGTCCAGAGAGACATCGAACCGTAACAGGTTTCAATCCATAATGCTTCACAGCTGCAATCTAGATCCTGTCCCGGAAAAGAATCACAATGAAACCACCCCCCCCCATTGTTTCGTATGCCCCCTCTTATATATTGTCCGGTGTTCTCTCATCATTTCAAGAAAGACTCACTAAGTCACTTAGTGGTAGAGTAGGTAACCTGCTTTTGCTGGGGACCGCCCTCATGACAACCTTGTTGGGGTACTACAATCCCTGTATAACCGTAAAGTATAACCTTTAGTCCCCCAAACCCTGTTGGACAAGTAAGCTCAGGTGTCCCTATGCGCAGAGGACCTGGATAACTCTGGAGGAGAAAGGCGTGCCCTACACTCGCACACTTGCCTCGGGGCAGCACTGTTGCTTTCTTCTAGCCCCGGCGAGCGAAGTTTTGGGGTTGCCCTGTGGCACATGCCAGATCGCACGATGTCCATGTCATGGTTTTCCTTTTAAAACGACTTTGATTTCACAAATGCTTGCGTGTCAAACTTCCTCGATGGATTTTTGGTGTCACGGTGGCACTTTGGGTACTGCGTTCAGCACTACGAGGCCTTCAAAGCCTCACCGGGTACCCTGCGCCCTAAGCCTTCTGAGGTAAACGTTCGGAATGCCACGGAGCGCGAGTGGTACGTGAAGAACATCAATCCTCTGGGAAAGGTTCCGTCCATTCGTGACTTGACGGACGGAACCGTTCTGTACGAGTCGGAGATCATCAACGATCCGTGCCAGAGCAATTTGTATGTCTGTGTGTAATATAGGAGCCTTAATAATTAGAATAGGGTTTTGGGGCCCATTATACAATAATTCTAATAAGGAACCCCCAAAACCCTATTCTAGTTATTAAGGCCCCTACAATACATGTGTGTGCCTGCCAGCATGTGTGTTCTACGTCCAGAAGTAGATGAAGTTCGGGTCACCTCATCCCGTGGAGGCTTGAAAAAAGGGCCCTACAATGCTCACACTTACCCAAAGGGTCTAAGTACCTATATATATATATATATATATAGCAAACCCCTTAACACCCAAGTACCTTTTTCAGAACATCATTAAGGCAGAAACATACCCTCCAAGAGGCGCATGGACTCTTAGAGCTTTTCATCCGAGGAGTACCTCGAGCAGAAGTTCGCAGATTCTGGACCTGCCTTGATGCCACCTTCTGCAGCTGGGGCCGCCAAGGTCAGACTCTGGAACCACCACTTGAACAACAAGTGTTTTGGGCCAGCAATGGTAAACGGTTTGGGGGGGTGCCATCATGGAGGAACTGGTTTTTTGTTGTGATCACAAAGCTCAAGAGCTCAAGTTCAATCTGCTGCAAACCGTGATGCGATCATAAGCTTCAGTGCAGACTCTCTATTGGAAGAGTCGGAAGAAGCGGAGTCAGGTTAGCACCAGCGCATTTCACCTTCTTGATGAACAAGAATGAGACTGCAGTGACTGGGCTGGATCGAAGTCCGCACCTTTTCCCTGCCTAGGCTACCCAAAATCACACCCCAAAATGGACTGACTTTGTCTCACTGGGAGTTCAAGACCCTCATCTTATTCTTGCAGCAAGCTACAGGCAGACTGCCGCCAAAGCCCAAACCTTGGCACTGATGTGTATTCTTAGACATGCAGGAACCGGCTCCAACTAACTTGTACTAGGTTGCATTGAGGCCATGAACAGAAGTTTTCTTCCAAGGCGATGCGAATGAATCCACACCGTTTTGGTTTTGGGTTTAATCAGAGGTTTCACTTTCAAGCCACGTGTTCCACCCGTTTTGGTTTACAAAGGTTTAAGGCTTAACGTCCCCCTCGCCCCGGCGGAACCCGGTGGTGATCCCACATTAGTCGTTCTCTAAACCAGGCCTGTTAGCGTCCTGTTTCAACGGGCGCCGCACTGCATTTGGGACTTAAAAAGGAGCCCCAATTTAGAGAACTACCCACATGGCCCAGAGCACCTGGTCAGAAGTGTCAAGCCGTGCCTTGGCAGCACGAATTCCGAAGCCCCATCTGCAACGCCTCTGTCTGACTTCGACAACCCAACCCTAAACCCCCTTCAAACCATTATCATACCCTCAAACACCCTTCAAGCCGCTTTTAAACCCTAAAGCCCTTCCAACCATTTTTAATCCCTAAACCCTAAACCCTAAACCCTTAACCCCAAACCCTAAACCCTAAACCCTCAACCCTAACTAAACCCTAAAACCCTGACGAAACCCTCAACCCTCAACCCTCAACCCTAACTAAACCCTAACTTCTACGGCCCTCAGCCCTTCAAACCTAGCTCCAAGGAGCCCGACAAGATTCAGGCCCTGGAGGAGGCTCTGCAATACTACGAGGAGTCGGATTTTACAGGTTTATGGGGCTTCGGGAATAGGGTTTAGGGGTTTATGGGTTTAGGGTTTATTTAGGGGTTTATTAGGGGTTAGGGGTGTAGGGGAGAGCCCTGAATCATTTGGAATAGTATTGCGTAGGGCTCCATAGTACAACTCTACTATGTTATGACACACCCCTAGAGCCCATTCTGCCTTAAGTCAAGACGGTTCATTTTTGTTTGGCGAAAGGTTGAAGTTTTGAGACACGGGTCTGACTTCATGTATGTATACATGGCTTAACTTGGTAAGTTTTTTTGTGTAAGTTTTCTAAAGGGCTCTATATCCCCCCACTATTAATGGTGGAGCGGAATGGCCCTAAGAAGCCGTCTTGAATCCGAAGGACAACTTGAAGGGCCCCTTCCTGCTTGGGGACGAGTTCACACTAGCCGACGTCAGCACCCGGGCTTGATTGCGTTTTGTGTGGGTGTGGCTTTGTGGAGTCCGGCCCGCTGAACACACTTAGAGCAGCCCCTAGCAGAATTAGCGCAGTTGCTCGATACCTGGATTTCGCAGCATTTTGAGAATGAAGTTTGAGTTTCCGGGATGTGGGAGATTCAGAAGTTTCAATCCTTATCATGCAGCCTCACCAGGTACCTCCCCAAGTTTGAGAAACTTCGGTGGCTTGATTTTTTGTTGGAGCTCAGAAGTTGCAGGGTCTTAAGCTTTTGGGCGCCAGAGGTTGTTTGGAGTTAGACGGTTGCCTGGCTCGGGGTTTCAGGTTTAAGGGCAACCGGACTTGGAGCTGTCCCTGTAGCCCTTGAACAGCGTCTTGGTCCTTCGCCGGAATGACTGCTTGATGCCATGTTCATTGGTTGATGCCATGTTCATTGATTTGCGGAGTCTGTGCAAAACCTGAGAAGCGCAAAGTCATACCTGGGAGGTCATTGTAGTTCCAGCGTTCCCGCGCATCACCGTGGGTGTCATGGTTTCGCTGCCACCAGACATCCGAAGCCTACGGTCAAACCGTTCAGGTGCCCTTCCTTTTTTCGAGCGCCTCATCTTCTCTTGTCGGCGCTTCAAGGACTCCAAACGAGAGTTCGAGTGGGCTTGGGGTGTAGGGTTTGTGACTGCTTTGCTTGTTGCAGAACTGACCACAGGAGAGTATGAGACGAGACGACGCTCCACACTCCAGACTATAGAGCCTCAACGCCGCAAAGCCTAACTTCCAGCGAGACCTGCCCTTTGTAAAGCTTTGACAGCACCCTGCTCAAAATCTCCATCTTATCCTATCAGACCCGAGCCATCGGATTACACTTCGGGGCTCAGAGCCTAACTACCCAACAACTGCCCATATACTTCTGGCCTCCAGCACATACCCAATGCTTTGTCCGTTGGGGTGGTCTAACAAATATCGTCGGTATAGGTGACTTAGACACGTGAGCCCGTTACAGCGCGCGAGGAGTACGAGATCCCGCATCTTATCTGCATGGCAAAGGGTTCCTTTTCGGGTTCCTTGGAGGGTTGAGCGTTTTAGGGCTTTGGGTCTTAGGGTTTATGGTGTAGGATGTAAGGTTCATTCATTGAAGCTTCCCTAAGCCCTAACCCTAAGGGTCTAAAGGACCCAGTAATCGGGCACTTTGGTTACGGATAGTAGGATTCTAGCTTAATAATTGGGAGAGTATATGATTACTAGGTACTTGGACCCTTAGGGTAAACCTAAACCCTAAACAGTGAATACTGATGGCCCGACCTGGTGAAGTTCCTTTAAGGGTTCTCTCAGTCTTCAGGGCATCGGTCATTGGGCTCCGGTGGGGTTTCCTGTTGCGCTTCTTGGGGCTTGAGCTTCTCAGAGCTGCAAAAATCAAGAAGAGACTCCCCTCCCGGCATCCGAGGCCTGGGAAGATAGGAGCTTGGATATTGCTTTTTTACCAGTCCTCAGGGCTCCCTTGTAGAATGATTCCATCTGATTCCCTTACAAAGTCTAGTGGCCCCTATATTAGGAACCATGAAACTATCCTAAACCATCGAACCCTTAAAGGAGCCCTGTTTTGAATTTCTACGGCCCTTTATAGTAGAGTTACAAGCCTGAGGGCGGGGATGGAGCGCCTCCGCACCTGGCTCGACAAAGCCATGAGCCAGCCCTCCTTCGTAGCGACGAAGAGGACCTCAGGGTTCATTAGGGATTTAGGGATTTAGGGTTTGGGGTTTATAGGGTTTAGGGATTTAGGGTTTAGAGATCAGGGTTTGTTTAGAGCCTAGGGCCTTTAGGGTTTAGGTTCGAAGGATTGAGGCGGAAGTTTTATGGGGATTAACTGGGCGGGGGGGCCTTGTAGGGCTGTACTGGTATTTCACTGTTCTAAGATGCCTTTTTAACTGGCTTTGGGGTGTAACTCGCAGGTTCCAGAACGTAGATTCTGTTGTATTCATATAGGAACTCTACGTTCCAGCAGGTTCTAACATGTTTCCTCTAGTGTTCGGGAACAACACTGCAAGCCCGTGTTGTCGTTTCGAAGATCCCGAGTTTAGCCCCTGGTCTTAGGAGAGTTACTTGGACTGTCTGCTATGTCCAGGAGCCTGCATCCGTAAACCAAGCCCGTCGAAGCAATAGCACCGTTGCCTTGCGAATAATATTATCATGCCCCTCCGGCAACCCGTGGCTCGCCAAGGCCTTCCCTCAGAATTTCGATGCTTCCCAATGCTTACGTCACAGCCTTTTGGGGACTTGAGCCGCTACAAACCCCTGGCAACCCCGAGCCCTAAACTCATACTAAGCCCGAAGCATCAGAGACCCCTGAACCTTGAACCCTCAACTCCTCTAAACTAAACCCCGAAATCCTACAAATCTTACAATCTAAAAGTCCTACACCCGGAACCCCAAAGCTTTGTCCTCCACTGTCTAGGCCGGAGGAGAAGTTGGAGGAGGTCTATCAACGGTTTCTCGCCGTCAACTACACGTCTCTTGGCCTTTTATTGAAGTCTCCGTTGGATTGCCTAAACCAGCAGGGAAAAGCCCGAAAGGCGCGGAGGAGCGAATTTTCTAGTACCGGTAAACTACGGCAGGGCATAGCGTTTGCCCTACTACCCCGTGTGGCCTTGAAGCACAGCATATATGAAGTGAAGGTTTGGCGGCCTGAACCGGAACTAGGCCATTGCGGCGTGCTGCAGAGGCAATCTGAATGTGGGGGTTTGTGCAGGGTCTACAGGGTTTGGGTTTGCGTCTGTATGTGGGACCTCTAGCATGCACCCAGACCTAGATCTAACCTTAAGGTGTTAATCCTAATAACCCAACGTGGGCTCAGAGATGTTGATTTAGGATCCTTGGATTTACCAGCTTGCTGGGCTTATCCCTCCAGAGCAGTGAATCCTGATCCCAAGGCAAGCCTTAAACCTTAAGCTCTTAATACTCCTACATGTTACACATCCTAAAACTCTGAATCTTGAAAACCCCTAGCCCTGAACGTTGCTCTGTGCCGACTTTAATATCAATGTAACAGTCAGCTGGGACCTTACAGCCTCGGGTCTGCATGGTCCTATAAACTTGGGTTTTGCTGTGGTTCAGGGCCACTTCGAGGGTGCTATAAAGGTTGCTTGAAAGGTTCTGTAAGGCAAGGGTAGGTATGGGTTCATGGTGTAGGTTTTCGGATCGCTGCTTGCTTGGCATGGCCAGGACACCTCGATTCGATCATGACGGTCGTGACAGCCATGCGCGCGCTGGCAAATGAGACACTGACTCACCGCTCAACTCTGCAGCTTAACCACAGCAATATCTCCGTTCCCTCATTGTAGTTACCCGATAAGTTTGTCGTTGTTGTTCAGAGGATCCTGACCAGTCAGGTGGCTACCCCAGAAGGGGAGCCACGTTGGAGAGTACGGACCCACACCTCTCTATGTGCCTCATCTCACCCTTAAGCTCCTGAGACCCTGAACTCCGAGCGGTATGCATCTGCAGCCTTCTGTGGCTACGACTCTCATGCCGCAACATTCAGACATGGTTCGGTACAAGCCAGAGACAGGCAGTGCCTGCCACAGCTTCGCTACACAAGCCCCCACAAGCCCTGCCAACTTGGCGAACATGAACTGCTTGACTCTGCTGAACTTATATATGAGGATATCGAGATCCTGATCTCCTGATGCTGACAAGCTCGGCACGTGAATCCGGAACTTGAAACACCGACTGCCCCGCCCCAAAACCAAGCAAGACTTGAAGTACGCTTGGAGCACCGCCCGGAAGCCAAGAGTGCATCCAAGCCCTAAAGCCCCAACCCTCTAAACCCTAAAGCCGAAACCCCTATAGGACTTAAAGCATACAAGCCAAAGCCTTGCACATGGCGCACGGGCGGCAGACAGTGCCAGTGGGACGGACTATGAGGCCTTAGGTTTTGAGGATTTGAAGTTCAGGTTCCGGGTGTATTGATGTCGGGGTTCCGCTTCGAGGTTGAAGTCATCGCATCAAGGCTCTTGGGCTTTGTGGTTTTGGGCGCAACGCGCATGGTGCTCGGATTTCCGGCTCACTCTAGATAACCATAAATACCTGTAGAGTTCAATACACCTATATTCAGACACTGGAAGCATGCGAGGGTTCAGCACACCTTTAAGACTCAAGGCATAGCTGCAGGTTCGTCCTTGCGTCTCAGAAGCCAAAAGTCGCACGTCCTATACGACGGCACCTTGGTTAAGCGAGTATCCAAAGGACAATGCGACTGAAGCCTGCATAGAGCCTGTGCCCCATACTCTGAAGCCCCTAAGCTTGTGCAAGCCACAAGCAGGACTCTGAATCCAGAGACCCACAACCCTTAGCCCTAAGCCTGAAGAAGTGTTATGTTTGAAACTTTCAATCCTATGGCCCTCAAGCCAAACAACTCGTAAATCACAAGTCCCAAGATTTGCTGTAAAAGGTCGCCTCTGGTGCTGGCGGCGGCAGCAGCTGTAATCGGGTCTTCCAGGGCCTTCTGCACCTCGGAGAGTTTGGAATCTGATGCTGTGGCTTTGTTTTTTCCGGCAGAGCGGGGGGGGGGGGGGGGGGG